AAGTGTGAATTGCCTCCTGCCAGTACGGTAACGGCCTTGCCGGTACGGCTAATGACCTTCGGGTACGGTAAAGAACCGACCGGTACGGTAAAGCAGCGGCCGGTACGGTAAAGCAGCGGCCGGTACGGTAAAGCAGCGGCCGGTACGGTAAAGAAACGCATGCCGCAGGAGACTCACAGGAAACCGGCTTGGTGGTAATGATCAGTTCCCTTAGCAAAGCAATCGAGGTACCTATATGTATAGTATCAAAGCAATCGGACTAGTGGTTTTCAACAAAAAGTTAAAAATATCACTTTTACCAAAAATGGCAAAAATATTCATCAAAATTAGAGAATTGAAGATATCATCACGAAATTAACAAATCTGTCTACCTGAGATACATATAAACATAATATGAAAGCAATAAGAATTGTAGTTTTCAAGAAAACTGAAAAAGTAAAAAGTTGACATGGATGTCGACAATGGACAATCACTCGTATGATAAGCTCCGCTCAACAAAGTCATTACGGTAGCTAACAAAAAAGGCAAGGGAAAGGAGACAGGCACAATTTTCTTTTTGTAACATTAAATTGAATTCATGACAATATGTGTGACATATCGGTAAGTCATTTGGCCATTTTGAATTTGATTTGAAAAAAACATTATGGTCCCATTATGTTTAACGTCAGATATAGGTGTCTAAGTATGACAGATGATATAGATTCATTGATAACATTGAAATGGCAGCAATTTGGCCACCTTAGATCTCATTTCCAAAGAACACATAAATATATGTGTGACATGATGTATATAGTATGGACATGATCAGTCAAGCGTGTCTGAGATAGAACAGCAATCATTAAAAACATAAAAGGTCACCCGTTGACCATTTATAATTCGATCTGAAAACACAAAATGTCATGCATCAATATTGTATGTACCAAGAATGAACAAAATCCTTCCACACGACAGGAATCCAGTTCCGGAAGGGCAGAAATGCTTGATTTTGATGAATTTTAAAGCCCTGAAACAGCCTGCATTCATCAAATAAACATGCATATGTATCCCTAAGTATGTGAAAAGTTTGAATGTGATCGACCCCGGCATGTCCAAGATACAGGTGGAGACTGCCAAACAGGTGCACACATGTAGGACAATCAGAAGCGCAAGGTTACATGTTGGTTCATCACAATTGTTTGCGTTAACTAGTGCACACATTTTAAACATAATGTGTACGTAATATAGAAAGTAATGCTATTTACACTCCATC